ATAATACACTTGAAATAAACGGGAATCATACAAATAAAAAAAACTGTTGTGTGGACGGTGCACCCCAAAATTTTTCCCGCGCAAATTCATAACTCGGGGTTCTGAGATGCTAGAAAGCTGAAATTTTACTCAAAATTTTTCCCGCGCAAATTCATAACTCGGGGTTCTGAGATGCTAGAAAGCTGAAATTTTAGGAGCCCCCGGGTAAACGTGGTACCCGCGTATGTTCCCCGTTCAAGCAGATTCTAATGAGCTCAAACCCAGCCCCCGGGTAAGCGTAGTACCCTATTTTCCCGCGCAAATTCATAACTCGGGGTTCTGAGATGCTAGAAAGCTGAAATTTTAGGGGAATGTTCCCGTCCAAGCAGGTGCTAATGAGCTCAAATCCAGCCCCCCGGGTAAGCGTGGTACCCGCGTATGGGCCGTCCAGGCAAATGCTAATGAGCTCAAACCCAGCCCCCGGGTAAGCGTGGTACCCGTGTATGGGCCCCATCCAAGCAGGTGCTAATGAGCTCAAATCCAGCCCCCGGGTAAGCATGGTACCCGCGTACAGGCCCCCTAAAATTCTTCCTGCGTAAATTCATAACTCGGGGTTCTGAGAAGCTAGAGAGCTGAAATCACCCCCCAAAATTTTTCCCGCGTAAATTCATAACTCGGGGTCCTGAGATGCTAGAAAGCTGAAATTTAGTCAAAATTTTTCCCGCGTAAATTCATAACTCGGGGTTCTGAGAAGCTAGAGAGCTGAAATCTTAGGGTGGTGTTCCCTTGTGTAAGTGGGTATTAACGAGTTCAAGCCCTGCCCGCGGGTAAGCGTGTTACCTACGTACAGGCCCGTGATAAGTGGTATTAACAGAGTTCAAACCCTGCCCGCGGGTAAGCGTGGTACCTACGTACAGGCCCGTGAAAATTTCCTTCCGAGTACCCTGTCCGCTGGTAAGCGTGGTACCTACGTACAGGCCCGTGAAAAGTTCCTTCCGGGTGAGTTGATTACTCGAGAACCCCGCGGATAAGCGTGATACTTGCGTACAGGCCCGTGAAAAATTCCTCCCGGGTAAGTTATTTACTCGAGAACGTGAGAAGCTAGAAGACTGGAATTTTGAGGGGATGTTTCCT